GCCCCGAGCTCACGCGGCCCCGCCCGCCCGTTCCCAGGTGATCATAGAGCGCTACAAGGGTGAGAAGCAGCTGCCAGTCCTGGACAAGACCAAGTTCCTGGTCCCGGACCACGTCAACATGAGCGAGTTGGTCAAGATAATCCGGTGCGTGGGCAGTGATCCTCAGGGGGGACTTGGGTCCCGCTGGGGTGGCCACGTCCCTCTGAGGAGTGGGAGTGGGCATAGGAGGGGCATTGGGTTCCTCTCTGGGAAAGTTCAAGGTCAGGGGTGAGTGTGACGTGGAGGCAGGGAGTCATTTTGGGGAGGGAGTCGGGGCGACACACGCCGGCAGCCAGGCCCCTCACTGTGGGCCGCCCTCCTGTCCTCCTCAGGCGCCGCCTGCAGCTGAACCCCACGCAGGCCTTCTTCCTGCTGGTGAACCAGCACAGCATGGTGAGCGTGTCCACGCCCATCGCGGACATCTATGAGCAGGAGAAGGATGAGGATGGCTTCCTCTACATGGTCTACGCCTCCCAGGAAACCTTCGGCTTCTGAGCCAGCAGTAGGGGGAGGGGTTGGCAGGGGAGAGGGGGCCCATGTCAGGCTCTGCCCAGGGAGCTCTTGGCTCCTGAACTGAGCTTCCTCTGCCCCTGGGGGCCGGGCAGGGATGCTACCCCAGGGGATACCAACCACTCCGCCTCCGCCCCGTGTGCATCCTGGGCCTGTCATGTTAGGGTTGCCCCTCTGGGTGCTGGCTGGTGGACGGTGGGGAGCAGCCCCCACCACCCGCGCTCTGTCTGGTTTGTCTTTTTTACTTTAGGCCCCTGCCTGTCTGCCCCTCCCCACCCGAGGCTCTGCTTCCTGCCTGGAACCACCTACCCTTGAAGGACTGGCCTCTGGCTCACCTGGTCTTGACATGGTGTATGGATCTGTGGTCACTGTCCCTTTGCAGAATAAAGATTGCTCAGGCCTGCCTGGCCCTTTGCCTCCAGCTGCTTGGGGAGTGGGGAGGGCTGCTGGTGGCCTGTCCCACGCCATTCTCGGCTCACCAGTGCACAACTTGTTGTGTGGACTTACGGTTCATTCTGGGGGCCCACACCCTTGTGTAGTATACCATGGCAATATTAGGGGCCCACGCCTTCCAGGAGTGTCCTGTGGGCCCAGGGTAGACTTCATACCAAAAAGAAATTTATTAAGTCAACAACCTAACAAACCCTGCTCACCTGCTTCTTCCCCTGTCCTGTCTGGGAGGGGGCTCCTTTGTGTGCAGAGCCAAAAACTGTGGGTCCAAGTGGAGGTGCGCCTGGCAAAGCCCCACAGGCCTTGCTGCCAGCCTTGGCTCTCCTCTGGTGCCAAGATCATGACCCTGGACTTGAACCTCATCTGCCTGAGGGCCTGGCCCAGCTTTTGGCCTGTCCCCCCCGAGTTCGTGCAGCCCTGTCCCAGCCAGGCCTACTTGAGCACAAGCATGGCCTCCGTGCCGTCCTTGGCCGTCAGGTAGAGACCGTGAGTGAGGTAGTACTCTCGCCGCAGGAAGGCATAGAAGTAATCAGAGATCAGCAGGATCTGTGGGGGGAGAGGAGAGAGTGTGAGAAGCTTCGAGGTACTGCCCCTAGACCTTGGGCCCCTGAGGAGCTAGGCGGGTGTTGGGGAGACCCCACCACCTCAGGATCTACACCTGACCCTGCAAGGTCTCACTGACACCTGAGAAGTGCCCGTATGGCCCTCCCTCCCTCCACCATTGTCTACACCTCCTCCTCAAGCCCTGGCCTGAACTCCAGACTGGTACTTGTGCAGCCAGACCTCACCTCGTGGGTACCCACAGGCCTCTAGGATGCACCCTAGCCAGGCTCCCTGTCAAACCAGCTTCTCCCACTGGGAACCCAGGCCCCACATCTTCCAGGTCCTCCGGCCACAGGATCACCTGATACTTCTCCCCTATACACAGCTACTAAGTACTGTCAGTTCTACCTCCTAAGCCAGTGGTCGGCAAACTCATTAGTCAACAGAGCCAAACAGCAACAGTACAACGACTGAAATTTCTTTTGAGAGCCAAATTTTTTAAACTTAAACTATATAGGTAGGTACATTGTTATTAACTTAATTAGGGTACTCCTAAGCTGGCCTTTGCTAAAAACGTCCTCAGTCTGAGGGGTCGACCTCAGCGAACATACCCCACTTCTTCTAATGCCACTTCTTCAAAATAGACTCGCCCAGGCCGAAAACCGGCTTCTGCGCATGGGCCACGAAGTTTCAATTGCTCTGTACATGCGTGCCCGCACGTGGTATTTTGTGGAAGAGCCATACTCAAGGGGCCAAAGAGCCGCATGTGTCTCGCGAGCTGCGGTTTGCCGACCACTGTCCTAAGCTCTCAAATCCACCCGTTTCTACCCATCTTAACAGTTACCACCCTGGACAAAGCCACTGTCATCAATAGCAGTCTCCTCTCTGGGCTCCCTAATCTCAAACCTCCCCTTCCCTCAGTCCATTTCCCTGGCAGCCAGAGGTTGCTTTTCAAAACAAATCTGGTCATGTTAAAACCCTCTAAAGCAGTGGTTCTCAACCTTCCTAATGCCGCGACCCTTTAATACAGATCCTCATGTTGTGGTGACCCCCAATTTCATTGTTACAAATTGAACATAATTAAAGCATAGTGATTAATCACAAAACAATATGTAATTATATATGTTTTCCGATGGTCTCAGGTAACCCCTGCGACCCACAGGTTGAGAACCGCCGCCCTAAAGGCTTTCTATGGCTCGCTAGTCGGGTGAAGATAAGCTCCCAGGGGCTCTGAGGCCTTGCACCTGGTCCCTGCCGTGTACATGCCTCACGCTCCCCCATGTTCCACCTCCCTCTGCTCCAGCCACACTGGCCTCCTCCCTCCCACTGCGGGATCTTGGCTGTTTCCTCCGCCCAGAATGCTCTCTCCACTTTCATCTAGTCAACACCTGCTTGCCCCCCTTCAGACTTCAGGAAGATCTTCCTCAGAAAAGCCCACCCATATGCCCCAGACTGAGTCTTGGCCCCATTAACCTCTATTTGGCAGCACAAACTCATCCAAAGTGCCGTTTCACATTCGTTTCTGTGATGTCTGCGGAGTGCTCCTCCCTCCCTGCACTGGGCACAATGGTATGTGCACCCAGCTCTCCGTCTTTCCTGTATGAACCACAGAATCGAAAGAGCCCTAGACGTGCAGACCACCATCCCTCTCAGAGGCCCAGAGCAGAACTGGGATTTGCCAAGGTCCCCACATGCTGCACCTACAGTCTTACAATCCATTTGGCCCAAGCTCCCAAGACCTCCAGTGCCTGGAGCAGGAGGAGCAGGGCCAGCCCCATGGAAGGATGAGGGGAGGGGCTCACCAGTGCAGACACCTCCAGCTCTCAGGCACTCGGAGGCCTCTCAGACTATCAGCACCAAACACCTCCTGGCACAGATGGGGAGACAGAAGCCCCAGAGCAGGGGGACCACCTGGCTAGGGTCTTGGCGCAGATCAGAGGTTGAGCTGAGCCTGGGATCTTGGCCCCTGACCCTGAGACCCCAATCCTGGGCAGCCTCTCGCACTGTGGACAGGAAGGAGAGCACAGAGTGGTCTGGAGGAGGAGGTCAGGGCCAGTACCAGTGATGGCTTTAGGACACGACTGGAGCCTGTCTGGAAGGATGATGAAAATTTAGGCACAAAAGGTTCAATAGTTGGTCTAAAACTATACAGGGAGAGCTGGACTCGTGGCCATGACCCTGCAGGGCCATGCACCAGTACGCCAGAGGGCACAGAACTCAGGCACTGTGGGTATCAGCAGAGCAGACACAGTCCAGGAAGCCCTCAAGGCCTTGCACCACAGCTGCCCTATCGGGGGGCAGGTATCACAGCAAACACTGACCTCACATCCTACACCCCTCTCACACAGGCACAAGGTTCCTGGTCTGGGGGAGCCTGTAGCTGTGGTTGAGCTGGTGGGGTCTGATCCCCACGCCAGGTCAGATGAAGGGCAAAAGAAATGAGCCAACTCCAATGTCACACAATCAGCTGGACAAGTAATAGGAAGTCAAAATACTAGGTATTAGGTTGAACCATATGAAATTGCCATTTTTTGCAGCTCAGAAACAGATGAATATTGCCAAGTTCATATAGTTCAATCTATACAAAAGAGAAAAGAACCAAGAAATACAAATAGAGTAAGCATGTTATCCAGAAGTTCCTGAACAAGTAAATAGCTGAAGACTTTAGGGAGTTATTATTTCTCCTTAAAAGCCTTAACTTTGTAAATTAGATGCATGTATTATGTTGATAAAAATAATCATCTAATACATAATTGAATAATACATAAATGGTGGGAAATTCCTTTTTTTAAGAAAAAAAAATTTTATTGATTTTTTTTACAGAGAGGAAGGGAGAGGGATAGAGAGCCAGAAACATTGATGAGAGAGAAACATTGATCAGCTGCCTCCTGCACACCCCCTACTGGGGATGTGCCTGCAATCAAGGTACATGCTCTTGACCGGAATCGAACCTGGGACCACGAGCCAAACTGGTTAGGGCAGGAAATTCCTTTTGATATTCTTGCAGAAGAATTAAAAATAAGCCCTAGCTGGTTTGGCTCAGTGCATAGAGCATCGGCCTGCAGACTGAAGAGTCCCAGGTTCGATTCCAGTTAAAGGCACATCTTGGGTTGTAGGCTTGGACCCAGTATGGGGCATGCAGGAGGCAGCCAATCAATGATTCTCTCTCATCATTGATGTTTCTCTTTCTCCCTTCTCTTCTGAAATCAATAAAAATATATTTAAAAATATATTAATAATATATTACTAATATATAAAAACCCAGGGTCCATAACACCCAAAACGACCAAAGGCTCGACCGAACCCCAGGCAGCACGCGCAGCAGGCTCCAGTGGGCGGGACTGGCGAGTGGGCTGAACTGCTGAGCTCTCAGGGAGAGAGCGTGGGGCTGATCAGCGGCTACCGCAGCTGCTAGTGAGGACTGCAGAGAGAGAAGCAGCGTGTCAGACCCTGCTTCTCTCTCTCCAGGCCTCGCCAGCAGCCATGCCTCTCTCTCTCCGAGAGATCAGCAGTTCAGCCTGCTCGCCAGCAGTGTGGGGTGGCTGTTGATCAGCCTCGCCTCTCTGATCAGGCCCCGAGATGCTGACTGGCATAGAAGCCGACCAACCAGAACCAAATCTGGGTGAACTGCGAAGGCAGAACCTAAGGTGGGGGCTGAGGAGGGGTTTTAAGGGCAACGGCTGTTTGGTGTAAGGTGTAAGAAAGCAGCTCAATTTTTTAATAACCCGTTTGGCAGCATAGTGCATATGGCTGGCTATCAGTCCAGATATAGGGATTATATATTTTTGTCTTCAGTGCATCTCTCCTCCTGTTGAAAAAGGCTTCCCCCGCCCCCCCATTTAAGCAATCCTATCCTATATAACCTATCTATGGGCAGGGAAAGCAGTGGGGGGCGAGATCAGGTCGGCAGGGGAGGGCAGTTGGGGCAAGATCAGGCCAGCAGGGGAGGGCAGTTAGGGGTGATCAGGCAGGCAGAGGCAGTTGGAGGTGAGCGGTTAGGAGCCAGTGGTCCCAGACTGTGAGAGGGATATCCGACTGCCAGTTTAGGCCTGATCCTAATCCCTAAACGGCCCAATTGGGATCAGGCCCAAACCGGCCGTCAGACATCCCCCAAGGGGTCCCCAATTGGAGAGGGTACAGGCTGGGCTGAGGGAATCCACCCACGTGCATGAATTTCATGTACCAGGTGCACTCCCACAGTGGGAGCGCTGCTCAGCTGACTGACCTGTCCTGGCGGCCCACCAGCCCAGTGGCAGCCACTCCCTCCCTCAGTAGTCCTGCAGGTCCAATCTTGGGAGAACAAGCCAGGCACCAACGGACTGGTGCTGCTGGCACAACTGATCCTGACAGTGCTGCCAGCCTCCTGGAAACCGGCCTCAGGCACGGTGGCCACTTCCCCTCCCTAGATGCTTGGCA